GCCTCACTCAGTATTCAGTCACACCATGAGCAAACACCAGTTTGTCTCCCCCCCATCCCCTTCTCTTCCCTTTTTTCTTTACCCTCAACCCTACACTTACCTTGCTGGCCCCATTACCTTTTGTTCTTCTACTTTCCATTTCTTCCCTCATTTTCTCCCTTTTCTTTTCCTACCTCCCTACCCTTGGCCCAAGTTGCCAGGGGGACATCTATGACCCACTCATCTGCTGCTTCCCCCTTATTTTCTCATCAAAAGTGACTTTTTATGATCTCATCTTTACCTCCCAATGTTTACCCACTGGGTTACTCCCAGGGCACTTCCCTATCAAATAAGTTGCCACTGCCCTGATATCCATCTCCATGGGTCCTCCTTCCCTTACACTCCCCTTCATGGTAAACCCCCCTTCATGTGTTTTATTACTGTTGGAAATATAAATACCTTTTTCGATTTAGTGATGTTGCAGTACGACTTCTGCTCTGTTTACAAGTTATGGTATACCATTTTAGTTAATGTCAATACATGTAACGAATGTTTGACCCTATGTAATTCTGCCTTTGATAAAACAGTAAATCATTTATTTTTAAAAAGTGGGAATTATAATTCAGTCAGTTTTGGGTAAAGTAACATGTGAGGTGGAGTTAAGTACTTATAAACCCTTCAAACTATAGCAGCATACCACCAGTCTGAACTAATACAATACTTCCATTAATTAGCAGCATAACAGAAAAATCAACCTGACCAAATGCTGTATAAGATGAAAAAAGTGGAGTGGTTTGCAGAATGTGGGCATTCGCTTTCTGTAGCATATGTTTTTCCCATATCCAGGAGATAAAGAACAATATAGGAATATAGGAAAAAGAGGATATTGAACAATATAACTTGCCAGAGCATTGCAGGCTTGTAATCTTCAGATACTCTCTAATAGGCCACACAAATGGGGCTGTATTAGAAGGTACAGATCATGGCAATTACCAAGTCAGCTTCCGCTCAATGCCAGCATTTCAAGAAGGAGCTACCCTTGAAACCATGGATTCGGAGTCCCTATAAAATAATATCTCACTCAAGGCTAACATTTCTGCTTGCATACCTTTACTTTCCAAAATCATCTACTGGCAAAGATGGTGATACCTCTATGGAAATTCATCCTCTCACACTTAGCTTTACAAGTATCTATATTTACAGCACATGGAGACAAGTGTGGGTAGCAGGTTCCACTACAAGATGCTAATTTGTTGAAGATGAAACTGGAAGAAAATTCTCTTTTTTACGTGTGCCCAAAAGCTTCTGTAGTAATAATCCAATAGCACATAAACTTCATTAAATTGCATCACAAGACTAAAATGAGGCACATCATATAATACGTTTATTTTCCAGACACAACCTTTTAAGCTTTCCATATACTGAGAACCAGTGCACAATCCTTCCTAACCGAAAAGTGCCTACAAATATTTAATTACCATTGTAAGTCAGACTGAGCGGTGTCTATGGGGCAGTGCATGACAGCCTCAAAATGCGAAGGATATTCAAGTCAAACCAGGATTTTTAAATTTACAGGTATAAAAAAGGGATGCTAGCATAGTGGTACTACATGCAGTAGTAAGTGGCAAGTGAGTCCTATTAATGATAGGCGGCGCACATGATGCCACCCAGTTCAGAGACCATTGATCAAGACAACAGTGTTAGTGCATGCATAGAACAGCATGTGGTGATGAAGTTTCTTGTGAACAAAGGCGTAAAACCCATGAATATCTACAGGCGACTTCAAGCACAGTAAGGTGATGAGGCACTCAGACACAGTAAGACATTTGAATGGCATAAATGTTTCAAAGATGGCCGCCCGTCCTTCAGAGACGATCCCGGACGTGGTTGTTTCCAGCCCACAGCATTCATTCCTGTGAACATTCAGCACATGGAAAGCCTGATCCTGGATAATCAGATAACCTTCCATTAAATTGCACAAAAGATGAATCTTTCTGTGGGAACGGTGAACACAATCATTACCAAAGTGAAGCAGGATGTCCTAGGATGGTTCAGGCATACTGACAAATCTTTCTATGCCAAAGCTTTCCAGGCTTTAAACATTGGGATAAATGTAACAGAGGATTATGTCGAAAAATAAATGCAGTTTCCACTCTTTTAATTTGTTCTTTTATTATATAAACTCAAAAGTCCCGTTTAGACTTGAATGCCCCTCGTAGCAGTATTGGGGGGGGATTAGGCAGTTTTTAAAACCTGGTCCAATCAACATTGTTTTTCTTGGTACTGAGAGTGTCTGCCCATGTCTCCTTTCCCCCATTGCCTTAAGCACTTCTGTTCAAAGTAGAAACTGGCCCACAAAATATAACGAGATCACCACACTTAAAATGATCAGTCATCTTCATCTAGTCTTTTCATACAATTATATTTGTTTAAACACTACAGAGAGGGATCATCTTCCTAAATACATAGACCAAAAATTCTGAATAGATGATACAGGCCTCACTATAACAGATCAAATCTATAAAACTATAAGAATACCCATTGCCAAACTGCTATGATGTAGTAGTTTTTTAAAGACACAAAATAGTTTTAAAGACAGGAAACTGATAACCTGTAGTTGTCACATGCAAAAAAAATTAAAGAATCTAAGAAAGATACCCAGGAAACTACAGTCAATACTATATAAGGACAACAGAAGTAAATAAATCCTTCTAGAATCTAGAACCTCCACTTATTCTCTAGACAGCCAACAAACCCGAGCACCTTTCTCATCAGCAATTTGCAAATAGATAAAATGGTACATTTCCTTGTGGGTAAAAAAAGTGCAGGATATGTCAATGCACCCGACACACAGATGACACCATCAGTAGCAACCACATCTGAGAACCATACTTGGATTATGTGTACTTGCACGTCAACCAATGTTATACTTAATAGAACATATTTCCAGACACTATGCAGAACAAAAAATATGCACCACTTTACAGTTTAAATAAAATTTGGATGCACAAATCATAGCCTTAAGGACTTGAGAATAGCCATTTTAAAAATAAATTTTTTTTTGTAAAGGAAGAGAAAGGAAAACATGAGAATTTTTTTTTATATATTTGGGACCCCTTAAAGTGGATTTAAATATAAATAATATAAGTATATTAGAAATAAGAAATAAATATAAATACACTATACTGCCAAAAGGGACGCCTGCCTTTACAAGCACATAAACTTTAATGGCATCCCAGTCTTAGTTAGTAGGGATCAATATTGAGTTGGCCTACCAGTTGAAGCTATAAAAGCTTCTGGGCAGGTTGTCCAGGTTTAGGAGTGTGTCTATGGGAATGTTTGACCATTCTTCCAGAAGCGCATTTGTGAGGTCAGGCACTGACGTCGGACGAGAAAGCCTGGCTCACAGTCTCTGTTCTAATTCATCCCAAAGGTGTTCTGTTGGGTTGAAGTCAGGCCATTCAAGTTCCTCCAGCTCAAACTCGCCCATCCATGTGTTTAATGACCTTTCTTTGTGCACTGGTGCGCAGTCATGTTGGAACACGAAGGGGCAATCTCCAACCTGTTCCCACAAAGTTGGGAGCATAAAATTGTCCAAATGTCTTGGTATGCTGACACCTTAAGAGTTCCCTTCACTGGAACTAAGGGGCCAAGCCAAATCCCTGAAAAACAACCCCACACTAAAATCCCCCCTTCACCAAACTTTACACTTGGCACAATGCAATCAGGCAAGCACCTTTCTGCTGGCAACCACCAAACTCAGACATGTCCATCAGATTGCCAGACAGAGAAGCGCGATTTGTCATTCCAGAGAACACGTCTCCACTGCTCTAGAGTCCAGTGGCGGCCTGCTTTACACCACTGCATCCAACGCTTTGCATTGCACTTGGATGCAGCTGCTTGGCCATGGAAACCCATTCCATGAAGCTCTCTATGCACTGTTGTTGTTCTAATCTGAAGGCCACATGAAGTTTGGAGGTCTTCAGCTATTGACTCTGCATACAGTTGGCAACTTTTGCGCACTGTGCGCTTCAGCATTCTCTGACCCCGCTCTGCCTTTTTACGTGATGTACCACTTTGTGGCTGAGTTGCTGTTGTTCCCAGTTGCTTCAACTTTGTTATAATACCACTAACAGTTTACCGTGGAATATTTAGTAGCAAGGAAATTTCATGGATGGTCTTATTGAACAGGTGGCAACCTATTACACTTAAATTCACTGAGCTCCTGAGAGAAATGTTTGTAGAAGCAGTCTGCATGTCTAGGTACTTGAATTTATACACCTGTGGCCATGGAGGTTATTGGAACACCTGAATGATTTGGAGGGGTGTCCCAATACTTCTGACAATATAGTGTATATATTATATATATGAATAGGTGAGGTGAATTGTTTGTAAGTGGTCCATGTCTATTAGATGTGAGTGTTTTTACATTTATGTTTTTGGAATCTCTTTAGTTTTTAGGGATTTATGTGCCTCTCCTCCCTGTCTATTTCAGTGCTCTGACACCAATTTCCCTGCCTTTGGTTGGAAATGGGAGGGTTTTTTTCCCTGCAGGGGATATGCAGGTGATGACCTGAAGGGCTGGGCTGTGCTCAGCTTAGTAGTGTGGTAAGACCTTTTGAAAATATGGGATTTAGTACTATTGTGGATTGAATTTTAATGTTATTATCATTACTTTATGTGAAATCTTCCGTATTATAGTTATTCCTATGTTACATCCCTTAAGAAGCAGCATTCCTGACTGTGAAACGTGTCAGGCCTGGGCTTACGAAATCACACAGCATTATGCACAACAATGAAGGAAATCAAGGAAATCAAGTAAGTATCTATAAGTGGCCATCATATGGACCCTTTTTGTTAGATTGTTGGTATAACTGTGGAGTCTGGAATGCATGATTTAAACTATAGGGATGATAAACAGTTTTACAGTTTCCCAAGATATTATCAGTTTTTGGTGAACCAACTCTCTGCTATTGTTTTGTGACATAGGTGCAGTATGTACAGTATTTTGTATCATCTACCTGATTAAGTCTCATATGGTAGTTTTCTTGCAAGTCCTTCCGCTCATTTAGAAGTTCTTCCACTTGATCTCTGCTTTTATCACTTGAAAGTTTACCATCCTGTGATGCAATGAAGAAAAGGAAGTTAGAGAAAAAAACTAATAAAACAATAGGATTGGTTTAGATAAACTATGATGCTCCAGGATTCACCTGGTTTTCCATATTTGTCTAACTACCAGTATCCTTTGAGGAGAACTGTGCCACTAAGCAAATTGCCACAGAGGGTTCCTCCTTAGACCCCTCTGGTGAATATACCCCTGAAACATTACACTCTCCCTCCAGGAGAACAGAGCTAAGAGTTCTTAACCTTGTCCATCATCTTATGTGCTTTGCTGTTCACCCCCAAAATTTTGTCATTTTGTCAATCTCTCCAAAGTGAATTCTGTGCCTTGCTTCCATGAAACAGTAGACTCTTTGGTATTGGAGTTTACTGCTGGCAATCAGATATTTGGACCTCTGCAGACACATACAGCCACCATTTTATTTACTGTACATGTTCAAAAGAACACCTTAAAAAAACATTTAATTGTAAAACAAACATATATAGGAAGAGGTTTAAAGATTGTATTCACTACCATTTTGATACCTTGCCTACAACAACCCTACTCTAATATCTACATATGTACAGTAATGGTGTGTGGGAATTTTTAATTATTCACAGCGACATGTAACAAGAGTTATTACTCTAGGCCCTACCACCCCTCATGACCCTTTTGCAGCTGTAGCACCCTCTGATGTACATAGTTTGTAGTATAGTTAGAGGCTTGTCAGAAGCTTGGGTGTGAATCAGTGAGTTTACTTTAGATCAGGCTGGAGTGCTCTACAGGTCAAGTCTCTGGTACCTCCCCCTAGTTCTAGAAGCTTGGAGAAGTTCCTGGAAGCTAGTGGGTAGAAGCCAGAAGGTGCTAATCTGCATATGTATGAGTATCTGGCCAATCCAAGGCAGGTGGCCTGGCAAGGTTGCCTAATCAATCCATAAATATGAGAAAGCCTGGCCAGCAGGGAAGTAGGGTGGAAAATGGAATGCTGATGAGTGCTGCTGGGAGGGGACCCTAGAGAAGGGGGGTCTGTATCCAGGCTGGAGGTTGGAAGGATGGGAGAAGGAAGATGACAAAGGGAGCTCCATTGCCCTGAAGTCCACTGAGGAAAGACAGCCTGCTAGCCTGTTAGTAAACTAGCTCAGCAAAAGGCCTTAAATCAGTTTATTCAAAGCTACAGGAAACAAGGACAGTGTTAGTAGCTCTACACCCTTGGGTCCCACAAGAGAGTGGGCTGCTAGGTGCCATACCCAACCAGTTCTCCCTGGGACCGTGCTGCAAGTCTGTTCTAGAATCATTTGCTCTAGGATACTCTTCAAGACAGCCAGGAGGATGGTCAGTTTCTAGCTGGGGTCTGAAGAGGTTCATATAAAGAGGGGACCAAGTGCTCCTTACAGAGATTGTGTTACTGAGCCATCAAGAGACTGATGCCACTCTGGAGGGAGTAGAAAGTCCAGGATCCATCCTTTTTGTACAGAATTTAGGAAGTTTGTCCTCAGAGTTATGGTTTCAAGTCAAGTTGGGCATCCCATATACCCCTAGACCAGGGGTGTCAAACTGGCGGCCTTCCAGCTGTTGCCAAACAACAAGACCCATGAGGCATTGCATGGCTGACAGTTACAAGCATGACTTTGAAAGGCACAGACATGATGAGACTTTCACAATAGCTGGAGGGCCACCAGTTTGACACCCCTAGACCCTATCCAAGTTGTTTCCCCTAAATGCAACAAAAAAAAAAAAACAAGCTCATGGACTAGTTACTGACTCTGAACGGAAGTTAGAAAATACCTGGCCATGCAGGAAATAGGGGGACCCAAATCCAGTGGCTCTCAAGGGGGTAGCACTACAAAGATGTACCACTTTTCAGCAACCTTCTCATTTTTTAATATTTAGCCAAATCCCAAACCCTTTACAAGTTACACCCAGTTTCAAGACCCAAAAATTATTGATGTAGGGACATATAGTTCTCTTCTGTGTGTGCACTAACTTTGAGATTTCCTACATGCCTTACCTTGAGTTCCTTTAGTGTTCCCAAGACAAATGTAAAAATCTGCCGTTTTTCCTTATCTAATTTTACATTGCTCTTGAGAAGACCTATAAAAATAACAAGAGCATTAAACACTACTAAAAATGATGTTAATCTCTACTGTCATTTGTAAAATATTTCAATATATACAACCCAAACGTACATTCCAGTTTCCTCAGTAAATCTGCCAGATGTTGATAGCAGGCAAGAATAATTTCTGTATTCATTTCAGATCTTTTACTGGAAAGAAAACAAAATGTCTTAGTATCCAAAAATGAATTAAGCAATGATGATTTCAGCTCACATCTTGCAATTAACATGTGTTCAAGACTACAGAAACCTAGAAGCAGTCAGCGCACATTAAAATGTTAATTGAAAATTACACTGGTATGCTCAACAGTAATGTGTTCCAATCGAAATGTACACTCTGTAATTATCACAAACAAAACTAGGGTAAGAATACAATGATTACCATGTGTACTATGGAAACATTTAACCCAGCTTATACAATATATTTCCAATTGTTACATTTAAAGAGTTTGTCTACAGTCCTTCCCAAACGGATGATTATTGGAGGGAAAATACTCACCTATCAGCATCAACTTGAAGGACACAAACAAGATCCTTTCATGGTATTCCAGTTCAACCCCAGTTCAGCTGTGACATATATCTTCTTTGATCTTTTTGATCAATAACATTGCAGATTCTTGCCCACAGGATGCTAGTACTTCCAAAAGTTGACAAGCTATCTACTATGATTTTCTGTACTCCTCAAAAAACCTGGTTGATTCTGCTGTTCTCTGTCTCCCCATCCCGTCCATGTCCCCACTGCAACTGGGGATTCTGCAGAAGAGTGTTGGCACCTAGTGCACATGCTCACTTTTCAGAGTATTTTCTACCCTGAGCATTTCCTCCCTATCACATCTGAGCAGCCCATGTGAATATAAAGCCACACATGGGCATATACACAGTGGTAAATGACACTCCCCTCTCTCCTCCTTCATGCTCACTGTCCAGCTAAATGGGTGGAATATTACATGTAGATTGATAGTGGCTTAACCTCCCTGTTATTCTAGGACACAGGCTGGAGGGTGTGACACAGCCTGTGACTGGCAGAAATGCACCCACACCATGTTTTTGCCAAAAATAATAAAGATTTATTTTTAAATATATATTTGTATGACAATTAAAAACCATATATTGATATTAATTATTTATTTATTTTTGCTGTAGTTATAAAAACACTGGCTTTTTAGTTTTGAACATGTGACCAGCATCAGAGGACTAGAAGCTCCTCCTGTCATTGTTTCCCTACAGACAGGCTGGGAAAGAGCTGGGTCATGTAACCGCTGTATAATGATTTTTATTAAAATAATTACAGTACCATCATGTACATACAGAAAGAGATAAAATCTAGGTTATCACACTAATAATTCAAACCACTAATAACACTAACGTGCCAATCTGAAACTGCATTAGAACAGAACTGTCAAAAGCATGGCAATAAGACAGCTCGGCACCACACCTGTCACCTTGGTCACTGTAGGTCACGACCGTTCTGGCATATACAAAAATCTGACTGTTGTAATGATAATAATAAATATACAATTTTTCATAAATTGTATACCTCTCACAATCCAGTTGAAGTCCGTCTCCTTGTTTATGGTCATCATCTTTTGACTCACATTTCATTTCCTGTAGAAAGACTGTTTGTGACTAGATATGGCTAAATAGTAGCTGACATTGTTTTCCTTTTAGAAATTCATCACAGGTTATACTATGATATAGGACAAATGCGTACATGCTTGTACACTAGCCTATGATAAAGAAAATGTGGTAATGAATTTGTATTGTGTATGTAGCCATACCCCCACAGCAGCCGTTTGGTAATTTGGGCTCTCTGTTCTGCACCTTGACTCCAAGAACAGCCTCAGCCTCTCTGACACACCTGGTTGAATGAATGTTACTGCAGGCACTTATAACTTATAACTTTTAACTTGACTGTGAGGTAGTACCAGGAAATAGGCACAATACCGTGGTGGTAATGCGGTAAATTAACTCAATGTATTATTATGGGTTAGAGTCAATAGTGATTTGAGCATAAATGAGAATACAGGAGGTAGGTTCAGACACAGTCAGTAGACAGTATAATCACTATGCCAAAGTAAAGTAGAATAGAGTTACAAAGTTACATAGATATTCTGATTGAAAAAAGTTCATCCAGTTCAACCAACAGAGAAAAAAAAAACATCACACACAAATAGAAAACCTCCATATACACTATCCAATACCCACAGTTGTGCCAGAGGAAGGCAAAAAAGATCCAATTTGCTCCAGCTGGGGAAACAAAATTCTTCCTGATCCCTCAAGAGGCAATTGGTCATTCCCTGTATCAACTTTACCTATAAATATTAGTATCCAGGTATATTATGTGCATTTAGGAAAGAATCCAAGCCTTTCTTGAAACAAGATACTGAGGTGGCTAGAACCAGATCTTGAGGAAGTCTAGTCCACATTTTAACAGCTCTCTACTGTAAAGAAGCCTTTTCATATAGAGAGATTAAATCTATTTTCCTCCAGATGTGAAGAGTGACCCCTTGTCCTCCTTGATGACCTCAAGGGAATAATTCTACACTAAGTTCACTATAAGGACCACTTATGTATTTATACATGTTAATCATATCCCCTCTTAATATTTCTCTTCTAAAGAGAGGATAAATTCAGTTCAGTGAATCTTTCCTCATAGCTGAGCTCCTACATACCTCTTAGCAGTTTGGTTTCCCTTCTCTGCACTTTTTCCAGTTCCCCAATATCCTTTTTGTGAACTAGTGCCAAAAACTGAACTGCATATTCCAGAGAAGGTATTACTAATGATTTTTACAGGGGCAAAATGATATCTCTATCTATCTGCAGTCCATACCTCTTAATACAAGAAAGGATTTTGCTTACTTTGTAAACTGCAACTTGGCATTCCATGCTATTATTAAGCTTATGATCTACCAGAACACATAGATCCTTCTCGACCATTGATTGCCCCAATTGTACTCCTCCTAGTATGTATGATGTGTGCAAATTGTAAGCCCCTAAATGCATAACTTTACATTATTAACATTAAACCTCATTTGTCAGAGTTCTGTACCACTAGACTGGAACCAACACATAAATCAGTAAAGTCAACAATAAAAGTACCAGTTACACTTACTGGTAACGGTATTTCTGGGAAATCTTCCAGGACAGCACACCTGAGAGAGATGACTAGCTGCACCTGACAGGAAGCACAATCAACAATTGATAGAGTTTAAATTCCCTGCCCTTCACTCCACTCCTCAGTTATATAAGAGTATTCCCACACCCTGGTGCGCAAAAGGTAATCTGTCTTGAAATAACTAACACCAGACATGGATGGAAAGTAGGCCTGCCATCCTGGAAGATTACCCAGAAATACCTTTACCGGTAAGTGTAACTGGAACTTTTCTCTAGTCATATTCCAGGACAGCACACCTGAGACGATAAGCAAGGAACTCAAGTCTACCTTAGGGCGGACCACTGCCTGTAATACTTTGCTGCTGAATGCCAGGTCCTGAGGTGACAACAACTCTACCCTGTAGTGTCTCAGGAAGGTGCTCTGGCTTGTCCATGTGGCTGTTCAGCAGGTCTGCTCAATCGATGCTCCAGCCCTCTCCATGCAAGAGGTCGCTAGTGCTCTAGTAGAGTGAGCCCTCAGGTGTGAGGGTATTGAAACTCCTGATTTCTCATAAGCTAAGGAGATGGCTTGTCTGATTCATCTAGCTATTGTTGGCTTAGACACCTGCTGTCCCTTCCTTGGGCCATTAAACAAAATCAGAAGATAACTCAACTTCCTGAAGACATCTACTATAGTCATATATGTCAGTAAACACCACCTGACATCTAAAAAATTAAAACTCTTTTCCCCCTCATTGGTAAGTTTTTGGCAGAAAGACATTAGTACAATATCCTGTATCCTATGAAACCTTGAGGCCACTTTGGGTAAACAAAGAGGGTCCTGTCTAAGTACTACCCTGTCCTCTAATACCACCAGGAAGGGTTCCTTGGTTGACAGGCTCTGAAGGTCACCTATCCTTCTTGCTGTTCTGATGGCTAAAAGGAAGGCTAAAAGATAACATTTTAACCAAAATCTGTGCCACTGGCTCAAATGGTGGCTTAGTCAAAGCCTCCAACACTAAGGATAGATCCCAAGTTGGAACGTTATGTAACTTAACTGGAGTTACCCTCTCCCTGGCCCCCAGAAACCTCTTATGCAGGGGCTCTTACACAAGCCTCTGAACCAAAAAGACCGACAGGGCTGCCACACACCGCGCCACCTTTAGGGTGCTTACTGCTATACCTTTATCCACCCCTGCTTGGAGAAAGTCTAGGATCACCAGAACCATGGGAAGGGAAACCCCTTTTTTCTGGCACCAAGTGGAGAACACTCTCCACACCCTGGCATATATTTTTCTAGCGACCGGTTTCCTACTGAGGAGAAGAGTGTCTATCACTCTCTCAGAACACCCCCTTTTTCTAAGGATCTCCCTTTCAAGAGCCAAGCCGGTAACCAGAAAAACTCTGGATTGGGGTGCAGAGTTGGCCCCTGTAAGAGAAGATCCCTCCTGACTGGGAGATGTTGCGGGGGAGCCATGGCCCACTTCTTCAAGGTGGTGAACCAGGTTCTTCCTGGCCACCACAGAGCCAGCAAGACTAGTCTACGGCCTGATCTGGCCAGCTTCTGAAGTATCCATGGGATCAGTGGCAGAGGGGGAAATGCATATGCCAGCTCAGAATCCCATTCCTGTGCTAACGCGTCCAGGCCTTTGGATCCCTTCCTGTTTCTCCTACACACAAAAGCCACAGCCCACTTTCTCCCTGGCCCCCAGGGAAACACAATCAAAAACTAAGGAGTGGATGGAAGGGCAGGGAATTTAAACTCTGTCAATTGTTGATTGTATTTCCTGTCAGGTGGAACTAGTCATCTCTCTCAGGTGTGTTGTCCTGGAAGATGACTAGAGAAACAGTGTATATAAGCATTGACAACAACATGAATAATAATACTATAACTAGTCTAGAGTGCACTCTAGGAGAATGGCTAGGGTATGGTGTAATTTTCCATAAGCAGTACCTTAGCATAATCAATAGATACATGGCTATGTGTAGCAGTTGTAAAGAGGCAGTCTTTAGTCCTAATGCTTCAGCCAGCTAGCACTGAGGCCCAGTTGTACCGTTGGTGTACAGGAGAATTGTCCCAGTCAAGTCTGCAGGCAGCAATATGGCTACTAGATGGCTGGTCAGTTCCTTAAGGGCTCAGTCACTCTATTTCTAGCAGCAGATAGTAAATCCCCACAGCAGCCGCTCACCAGCCCCAGCCATATTGCAGCTCACAATCCAATCACACACAGCAATTAGTCAACTCTCTGCTCTACACCCAGGTGGCTTACAGCCCACCTGGACTCAACACTCAGGATCCTGCTCAAGCCACTGTAATGCAGCAGTGATGGTGCACAATGGACAGTGATGTGCACTCTATGAGCTCCTTCATGGCAAGAGAAAGTAGTGTCCTGTACAGCCTGAGAAAATGTAGCTCCTTCCTCTCCTCCTGGCAATTTCTCTCTTGGAAATGCAGTTCAAAAGCTCTTGATTACAATAGAGTCTCTTTCTCCTCTGGACTACAGTTCCCACAGTGAAGTTCTGACTCTCTCAGTCTTTGGAACTCTTCATGCTCAGCAGCTCCCTCCTCTTGTTGATATAGCTGTTAACTAGTTAAGCACTATAGGACAGCAGCTACAGATAGCAGCTGCATCCAGTGTTTCTCTCATTCTCCATTCCAAGTCAAGAATCTGCTACATGTATCTTTCTGAAATATAGAGCTTTATGAAAATGGCCCTAATTGCCCTTATGAAGCAACCAAGGAAGTCTCAGTATTTCAGCTTCATCTTCTTTAAAAAAAAGTATTCAGTAATAATGAGATATAGAGTAAAAACACAGTGAGCGCTCCCGATGAAGCAGCTATGCACTAAGGTAACCAGAAAAAACCTCTGCCAAAAAGAAAACAAGGAGTGCAGCGCTAAAATTCAAATGAAGGCTAAATCAATAAAATGTATACATAACAAATTAAAAATTTCATAAAAGTTCATATATTGATAGTGGTGATAAAGGATCCCAACCGCAGTGATACTTAAGTGCTTGTGCTTTGAAGGTATAGTAAAAATGCGCATTCACCAGATGTGCATTGAATATGCGCATATAAATATATCCAACACTTTAGGGAATGGGATATGCCAGGCGTGTGGTAAACTTCCTTCAGGGTATTATACAGCACAGCAGAAACTCTCAGGTTGGGTAGGTGGTCAGCTCATCCAGATGTCCCCTTTAAGGATGGATGGGTCTGAAGCCTGTGTTACAGGGATTCCCTCCTCTGGGTACTTGAATGGGCCAGACTCAAAAGTAGGCTCTTTATGTCAGTGTCCAGTTGGCTGTACAAAAAAGTTTTTCCATTACTTCTGCCTTATTTCCTGCAGACTTTAGGTCATGACACAGAAAGGAGTTGAGAGTTTTTATTGTCCCCTGGCCACATGTGTGAAAGAAAGAAACCTAAAGGAGCCTGCTGTTTAGGGTCAGCATCAGTTTAATTTGTGCAATCTGGCATTGTGCTTTCTTTATGTTTGTTTCTTTACACCAAGTTATAACATCACCCATACCATATCTTGCTCTCTCTTTTGAATAAAATGTTTCAATGCAGAACCTTGTCGGAATAAATAAAATTAAGAATTACACTTAATAAACACGGGGTCACTGATGTGGTAAAACAATCATTCATTTCATAAAGCCATCATTGTCATTATAAAAAAATAATCTTCCTTTAGTACAATATACCTTTTTTCTTCTTAGCTTTCGTGGCCTCCCGAATTTCTTAAACTAGAATCACAAGGTGATCCAGGGAGTAAGCTGCCATCCAGATGGTTCACACAACTGTTATCTTCAGATTTATCAATCTGGATTTCTCTAGTAGCTCTGAAACAAAGAGTAACCTCGTAAGGATGAAAAAAAGGCTAAAGTCTTTTAAACCTATGAAGTTATTTTAACCCTGACTGTAGGTAATATATATTCTTTAGTGACACCAGCAATGGCTGTCAGATTCATTCCCCGGATCAATTAATCCACTGATGCATTTATTAATTAGCATATAATTCATGTAAAGGCACACATAGAAGCACCAACCTTCAAACCTTCAAATGTTTTGTAGATTGTTCTAAACTTTTGAGGCCTAAATTAGTCAATATATACGTTACCTATAACAATCTCATAAGACAGGAGGAAAGTAAATGGACCTGCAGACCATACAGGGCATTATTGACAAAAGCCCCTGAAAAATGTCAAACTCAATAGGAGAGGAGTAGAGGCCAGCTCAAGATGGTCTTGCACAATCTGCATTACGCTCAATTCCATAAAACCTCTGGTAAACTAGACGAAAGATTGGCTCGCCTTATTTAGCACCAGAAGCAGCCTTTTTGGCACTCACATGGTTTTTTTGGTCTAAAACCAAGGTGTATAAAAATCTGTTTTATCACTAATGACCAAAGACAACAAGATTTTAAAGCACTGAGATTAAACATTCTACACATATGCAGTGCAGTGTCCTTTCTACATATTCAGTTTGAAGATGTCTGCAGGGAAAAGGGCAAAATGACCTCAACAAATAGCACTTACAGTGACATGCCAGAACTTTCTGAGTTCTAAAAAAGCATTCACATAAAGTCACCATAAATATGGCATAAATATCAAGCAGAACAAGTTCCATTATTTGGTTTGTGGACTGCAGATTGTACTGGGAACAGTTAGGTTAGGTTCATAGTCAGAGCTCACAAGCAAGAGTGCTTTGTTTCTACACATTATAACATGGAAGCAGTCTATATACATGTACAAATATACAGTCCTATATGCCCAAATGCAACAACAGAATAAAATGAATATACAGTATAGAAACACAATCTCTTAATAAAACTCTTGTATATCTTCATAAACTTCTCTTCATTTTAAATAACATTTTCCACATTCCCCTATACAGTATCAATGCTCTTGTGCAACAAATTTGAAACACGCTCACCAATTTTATTACTGTTAAGCTGTTGCACTCCAATGCAAAACGTTGCACACAACACTAGGGTCTCGTGCACATGGCAATACGCGGGGCTTCCACAAAATGTATATATTCACTGTACCTTTTGCTTTGCTCCTCGTGGTGATGTTTCCTTTTACCCTTTTTCTTCATTATGCTATACAGAAGTTCTTTTTGAGAACACAAACCTTGATTTTCTTGCTGCAGATTTTCTATTTGTGAATGGAGTGATTTATTTTCACTTGCTGATGCTTTGACAGCAGCTTCCAGTGCATGGCTGTGCTTCTTTAGAGCTGACACTTCAAGATGAAGACTCTCATTAATCTATTTTCAATTAAAACACAGACATGTGACATTTATCCTATATACACTAAGATAATATTATATTTGCCCTTATCATTGATGCCTTAATTTATAGGCTCTTTAATGTCACCCAGATGCAGCACAAAAACCTATGGTTTTAATTTACATAATACTATTACTTTAGTAGTAATTGAATTATGTTCATCAGTCATAAATTAAAATATTATGTGATGTGTTATATTAGCATTCAGAAAGCCCTATGATACAGCAGAAACGTGGATCTCAGAACTATAAATCAGCTTTTTTATGTAAAATTTGCCATCAACAGGAAATATTTTCAAGAAAAAATTGCAATTGCATCAAAGGTTACAGCGATGGAGAAGTGGAGTAGGAAAGGAGGTCTATAACTTCAGGGGGAAGGGGGTTATTCTGACTTCTTTCACACTGGCAGCAGGAGAAGATATTGCCACCACCTAATATTTTTTTTTGGCTGCTTTTTTTTTTTTAACTACCAAATAAGAATTTTGCATTGAGGGATCATGCCACAATCACCAGCCAAGCATTTGGATCATGGTTGTGTAGCGGTTACATTCACTTTCATGGGTGGATTTGACAAACAGTGCTGCCTTTCAAACTTGACATGTCAAGATAAAATTTGCTACACTGCAATGCAAAGCATCGCATCTGCAGCAATGTGTACTCACCCAAGCATGTCGGCTTGCAGGTGGGTGGTCTGTGTGCAGGAAAAATTGTAAGATTTTCTGCCCCCTCGCCACCTGTGTAGAAGGATCCTTATGCCTTGTGTCAATGGACAAATGCAGGATGCTTACAAGTGCATGCTGCTTGCATTTAACATCAGCTGAGGTGCTTTTAGATCAACTAGAGTTCATTGGCAGGTGTCGTTGACCTGCTTTTGAGCTCCTTCTAAGCTGCTTCAAGCTAAATGTTTGTTTCCATTGGCATGTATAGGGAGATAAGCGGTTCTGATAGTGGCCAACAGCTGATGACACATGACCTGAGAATGCCATATCTTTATAATATTTATATTTATTATATTTATAATAAATTGGTAGGGTCTGTATGCCGTTTGTATAAAGACCCCATAGAAGCAGTAATATGCTGCTAAAACAAGAAGAAGCTATAATTACTTATTGTCTATGCACTAACATTTCTGTTTGCCAGTATTTGCGAATTAAGCTTCACACATTTCTTCTCCAGTTCCTTGGAGGTGACTTTTTCTTGGTGAAGTCCAGAATGAAGTGACGTGATCTCCAGTTCTAGGGCATCTCTCTCACGTTGTGCATTGTTGCATTTTGTCTGCATTTTGTCTGCATGTTGTCTAAGCTCTTCTTGCATCTGCACATACTGTACCAAGGACATATCATAGACATTACTGATTAGGACAGACCATTTACTGTCTGCTTGAAATGAAAGTTCACCTTTTTATAAAAAAAAAAAAAAAAGATGAACTAACACAATACAACCTCTGCAACCCCCCCAACACCCCCCCCCCCCAGTTCCTTCTGTACTTACCTACTGCCCACACGGCCAGTGTATGGATCAAAACGATTGTGGCCAGTGCTGCCATATGACCGCTGACAAAAAACATTAATTAATATATAATGTTTTTGGTCAGCGGTCATATGGCAGCACTGGACACAATCGTTTTGAAAAATATAACATGTAACATTATTAGAAATTATAATTTTTTATTATTTTGTTCTGTGCATGGGTACCTTTTGTGTAGCACTAATAATGTTACATGTTATATTTTACTATAGAAGAAGAAGCAAGGGCATACATAGACACATTTAAAGACAGCAAATAAAGATGAATAATTGATTATTATAGATCCCAAAACACTTTACATTTATAAAGCAAAGCACAAAGGATTTGATTTACTAAAACTGGAGAGTGCAAAATCTAGTGCAGCTCTGCATAGAAAACAATCAGCTTCCATTTTTTTTTGTCAAAGCTTAATTGAACAAACTGTGAAGTTAGAAGCTGATTGGCTACCATGCACATCTGCACCAGATTTTTCACTCTACAGTTTCAGTAAATCAATCCCAAAGTTTACATCATAATCAATGTATTTGTATGCACTGGTGTGCTCAACAAAAATAATTTTAACTGCTTTGCATGGCAAAATATTTTAAAGCCATATTTTAGCACAAAAAGGGGGTTAATTACTAAACCTGGAGAGTGCAAAATCTTTTGCAGCTCTGCATAGAAAACAATCAGTTTCCAGGTTTTAATACCAAAACTTAATTGAACAAGCTGAGGTTAGAAGCTGACTACCAAGCACAGCTGCAACAGATTCTGAGTGCACCAGTTTTAGAAAATCTTCTCTATAAAGTCTCTATTTGGTATTTTTTTTTTTTTTAAATAAAAAAATTAATTATATAATAATATTTTAACTAAATAATTTAATTCTATTTATCCCAAATATGTGCAATTTTTGATGCATGATGCTGTCTGGATGATAAATTTGTATATTTTAGATATCAAGTGATAAGGCATTTTTCTGTACTGAGCTCTGAGTTTAATAGCAGTAATTCATGGATAAATCTATATAAATAAATTAAAGTTGAACTTCTGGATAATAAAAAAAACTCTACTATAGTACTAGTACAGTTCCTTTAGTATAGTAAGAACCAATATGTTACTTTTTTTTTTTAACTTTGCACAGTTTTCTCTACAATAAATGGTAATATTATCACTGTATACAGGAAGATTCTGCTATATCTGGACACCTTTAGGAGGGATTTCACAAGACATCACTTTCTGTTAGTTTTCCTCACCGCTTACTTAGACTATAATTCTCATGATGCACTGTGAACTCATAAACAAATTGACTTGCACATGTTCACAGGAATGCAAAACTTTGAATAGAAAAGGAGAGAGAAGGGATGGGTAAACAACAGGATCTCACCTTGTACATTCTCAGGGTGCTTTGTATTCTGAGAACAGAATACAAGTGGTACTAATGATCATGAGAAAGAGAAGGGGTGGATAAACAACAGGATTTCCCCTTGTTTATTTACAGGATTCCTTGTATCCTGTAAACCAAATGATAAGCACTTCATGAATGAGTGAGGGAAGAGGAGGGGCAAGTGAATGTCAGGATCCCTTCACTGTATAAGGCTTTATGTACATGAGCCCACCCTGACCGCCATCGTCAAAATGCAAATTGCAGCAAAAACGGGCTACCGCGGTTCCTGCGGTTTTGCCACATTTTGCGATTTCCTGCAGTCAGCGGTCAAAATGTTGCTATGCTGAATGCAATTATTCCGTGTTCAGGAGAGGGAGTTTTAACCTCACCTAAACGCGGCAGCTCCTAAACTCTGTTAAAAGCCTATGTGGACATGAACACATAGGCTTTTATGGAGTTGAGTTTAGGAGCTTTGGCAAAAAAAATGCCAAAAGCTTCTAAACTCGAGTTTAGAAGTTGTTCGTGTATATGAAGCCTAAGAACTAAAACTCTCAGTCACAGCGCTGGAAGAAAAG